TATATATAAATAACACCACCCCCGCTTTAAATCCACAATCCTTTCACGATACTTATGACTACTGTTAAAGTTTTCATGAGCATCAAAGAGTCTGAAATCAGCTCAGCACTAATCATTATTTTATTTTCAATAGTCCTCCAAAATCAAGAAAGGCAGTAAAGGGGATACCAGTGTGCTGAAACCTACTCTTATGGCTGCTGTACCAGTAAGTTCTTATAATGTCAAATGTTCTCTGAATTAATTACTAATACRTTCTGTTTTATTTATCAAAATGCACTTCATTTTAAATTTTAACTGATTACAGTCACATTCAGTTCTGACCATTTGTCTATAATGTTTGTAGGAGATCATGGACCGAATATACAAAAATGTGATGACCAAAGTGGACGAGATGAGCAAGTTCCAAAAAACTCTCTTTGCACTGGCTTACAACTACAAGATGGAGCAGATCTCCAAAGGATACAGTACACCTCTCTGTGACAGGTGAAACACAGCACTGCATACTTGAGCAGCAAGAAATTGACTTTGAAGATCAGTTTTAACTAACTGGCATGCTGTACTTTCTCCTCCCCTTCAGTCTGGTTTTCAAACGAGTACGGTCCCTCTTGGGAGGTAACACACGGATTCTGCTCTCTGGCGGAGCTCCACTATCGGCTGCAACACAGCGATTCATGAACGTCTGTCTGTGCTGTCCCGTGGGGCAGGGCTACGGCCTGACGGAGACCTGTGGAGCTGGCACAATCACTGAGGGTAAGTAGGCACAAAAAAAGGGCAACAAATGTGACAAACGACCAATTTTTTTTTTTTTACTGAAATGATTTTAAAACACTTGAGTTGTATTTGCCCACATTTATCGAATATTTGGTGGAATTTTCAGTTTGGGACTACAGCACAGGACGAGTTGGCGCTCCTCTTGTTTGCTCTGAGATCACTCTGAAGGACTGGGAGGAGGGTAAGTAAAGTATTAGTAAATTAATCTTTGTAGAAATCAAACAATAATAAAAAAATAAAACTTTTAAGTGGGGGCACACAGTTCACTTCTAAACCACAATCAAGTAACTATGCTACCTTAAAGTGCCTGTGATATGCATATTCTTCAAATACAAAAAGTGAAAGAAAGCCTCTTTAAATTTAAGAAACTTGGCGTAACACATATAATTTTACTAATTTTGTCATAACTGTCATGTTTGCTTTGGTTATTTTTATTATTTGGTTCATCAAAATTGAAACAGGAAGTGACATCAAAGGGAAACCCTTTTACGAAAGAAAACTCCCCGTCTTTGGTCTTTGCTTATTGAAACAAAATTTTTTTGAACTCTGACTCTTTTTCATCTCTCTGATAGTGACTCAAAATAATAA